CCACGCTTACGTTTCTTTCACAAGCGATGCCTTCCCTCTCCTCGCAGTCTACTAAGCGCCGTTCTTGGAGTACAGTACCGCATCCTCATCCTCACAAGGCGGCCCAAAATTTACCCAATCGGTATCGCAAAACATTATTGGAGTTCCTCCCGTGTATACACAAGGCTTACAAATGTACGTAGCCCCCCTTTCACTGATACGACGTGAAGATATTCGAGTGCTAACTGGCACCCAAAATTCAGCGGGAGATGTCTGCCCATTGCATGACGTTATGCGTCGTAACCCTGAGAGTGGGGTGAGATGGAAACCGATCTTTAAGGCGTATGGAGGTACGGTGGTCGAAATGAGGCACTCCATTCTCATGTCAACTTTTTTTTCAGTCCCATGGGTAGAGTGGTGGGAGGAGCGGTTTGTGCCTGTTAAGACTGCACGCAAGATATGCGCCAGCGGGGAGACAGGTACAGCGCGCATGATCACAGATCTTCAACGACTGGGTCCATACTTTGATTCAAATCGGTTGGAGAATCGTACGTTCCTGCCATTTTTATACCTTCACTTAGTGCTTACCATGTGTGTCACTTATAAGCTGAAGGTCTTTATTCACTTTGGTGTATCCATGTTATGTTAACCGTCTCCCAGATCTCGCTCGGGAAGTGAAGGACCTCAAAGCATCATGCAAGAAACTCGAATATCTCTTACGAACGAACTCTTCCTCCCCAACCCTCCGGAGCAGAGCTGGAAAGCTGCTCGAGAGCATTCAGACGTCTCCTGCGCTGGATCTCGACCTCCTTGAAGGCGTGGATAATTGCACACAGTTGTATTTGGAATTCTGCGCACTATCTCTGACTGGCGAGGACACAAGAGAAAAAATGCGGAACTTGCGCCAGTTGGTGAATGATGAGCTAGATAAAGCCATAGAAAGAGTGGAGAGATTCGATTCCATCAGCAAGATTTATGATGAAGGTGGAAGAGAAGATCTCGCTGCGATCTTGCGGGCAAATGTAAAAGCTGGTGAGCATCCAACGTGGATGGGGTCTTCGTGCTTTGATGATTGTTTCATTTACAGCGGAAAAGGCTGGCTTCCATCAAGGAGTGAGCTCGGCTGAAGAGAGCCAGCTGATTGACGACGAGCTAAGGAAGATTGACAATGGCCTTGCAATCATCCGTCAGCGATTAAAGGATTCCAAGGAGTTTTGGGAAGGGGTCGATCGCACACTCAAGTCTGCGACTCACACGCCCATAGGCACAAGAGCGAACGAACCGCCCGACAGAAGTAAAACAGAGTCCCTGGTTAGTCACAATGTGATCCTCGATCTCGATTAATGTGAACATCAGGCGCACAAAATCCAAACCGGCCTCGAGACCATCCACCACGCTGCTCAGAAGTACCCCGGGTCTTCCCGGATCGTTAAGACTGGCACCCGACTCGTCGGATGGGCATCAGACTTGACCAAGGACTGCGCAACTATGTCACGCACTGAATCTTCGGTCATGACACGCCTTCAAAGCCAGACATGCAACCCAAAGAGCGGTCGTAAGGTGTTGTCACCGCTGAAGAAAAGCTTAAGTAGCATTTTGAAGAGCTACGACAAACTCTCGGAACAATTCACGAAGTGGGCAGGCTGGATTTATCTCCTCTTCTGGTTTGGAGGATCAACGCTGGTGGAGAAGCTCCGATGTTAGATTTCTAGTTATCTATCTGGTTACGATTATCCTGAAATCTTTCGTAGTGAAGCGACCGGACCACGTCACTCTTGCGATCCTTGATTCAAAAGGGCTCCCCTCTTATCTCGTTCCAGTCGAGTCTGCTCTACCTGTCATTAAACATCAGCTTTGCGGGATACAGGAGCTTTGGGTGAGTCTTGAATCAATGGGTGGTGGAATCCCGAGACCCGGATGGTAATTTTTGCAATTGGCCCTTTGGTAGCAGGTCGTTGTAATTTGTGATATGTTTGGTGGAATTCTACTATGCTTTTGACTGCTTGATTTCAAGTGAGATTAGGGTTCGTCTGGTACCGAATTTATCCCTCCTGTCCGGGCACATGCTGCTTGATTTCTCAGCTCGGAAACGAAGTACAGACTGAGTGAATAACCACTGTGAAGACAAACAAGCCCCAGTATTTAATGCGAAATATAGTTCAAATTTTCTTTCCTGTTGATCTCTTTGGAGAGCTAGCTGAATTCATCTGACGTACAACGCTCCTCGATCTTGGGGCGAGAGAAGACATCCCTCCAATCGGAATGCTAGGAATTTATGTCGTGGGGACATGCTATGCTCAGGCCAGTGGATTTTCCGCCAGATTGAAAGATACGAACTAGGCAGCTAATGGTCCGGTCGACCCGACAACCTGAAACGACCATGGCGTTTAGCTGTACTTTCTTTTAACAACTGAGTTGAACTCGGTGCGTCGGACCGGTTCCGATCGCGGCAGTGCATCAAGAAACGGTGTCACGCTTCGAAATTCTTCTCTCTTTCCTCAGGTGTCGTTTTTCCCTGGTACGGAGCTACTATGTAGACCGTTGAATATGTGCTTAAATATTTTCACAGGTGTCTGGACTTACTTGGACTTTTCGACTTAGTAAGGGTGTGCTCGCCGTTCTGCTTCAACATTTATCTAACGTGTATTTGTTCAGGAACTCTCAAATGAATGTACCCCGTTGCTCAGAATGTGGGGCTCCAAGTCGCACTTCTTCAAAGCACTTCGCATTCGATCTGGCTACGGTCACTCATGGAACACGATATTACGAGCTGTTGAACTCCAATGAACCACCTCATGAGCCTGATCTCGTCTCTATTAAATCAATCAGCTCCAAAACCAGAACGCATCTCGGGTGTCTCGATAGCGAGATATCTCGAATTCAGGGCGTTCTAAAGGAATTGGAGGACGAGCGTGCCGCAGTGTCGGATTTTCATGCGCAGAATACCGCCATTCTCTCTCCTATCCGGCGAATGCCACCCGAGGTTCTTGGCGAAATATTTTCGTGGACGTTGCCCACAGCCAGTGACGCAGTCGTCGGACTCTGCTCGATCCGGGCTCGATCTTGGAAGCACCCCATGGATCCTAACACATATCAGCAGCCGCTGGAGAGCGGTCGCTCTGTCGACTCCCTCACTGTGGTCGTCGGTCGCCATTGATTTTTCCGTTTCCTCTCGGTATCCTCTCCCTATGCTCGAGACTCAATTCGCGCGCACACGCACCTTGAAATTTCATTTTTATGGATGCCAGAAGGCAGACCCTCGGCCGCAAATAACGATCTTTCGATGTCTCACAGAGCGCTGTTCCTTGTGGGAGGAGCTTAGCGTTGGTTTAACTTCGGATCTGGTTCCTATCCTGGCCACCGTTCGACATCGCATCCCATTATTGTGTAGTCTCTCTTGACAGACTCCCTCGCTCGTTCCTCGTTCTGAATTATTGTGCCGGTTATGGATCCAGTGGGCAGGTTCGGAAAGCCAGACTGCGGTGGACTCAATTGATGCCTTCCATACCGCCCCTTCTTTGCTTGACGTCGGCGTGTACAACGAATTTCGCCATGTGCCGATTCTTCTTCCTCTGCACCAGCTCACCCACTATGATGTCGAAGCACCATGGAAAGTGCACAAAGACATTCTCAAGATTTCCTCAAACCTCGTCGAAGCGCGTCTCCGCATCGCCTTCGACGAACCCTGGTCGGAGCATGGTGACATCATTGACTTGCCTCGTCTCCGGGGTCTCTATGGATCGGATAGGCGCATCATGAAACACCTCAGGACGCCTGCCTTGCAGGAAATAGCTTGGAGCGTTCTCGAAGATCCAGGTCTTCTCTTTCCTGATCTCGAGTCGTTCATTGCCCGTTCGGCCTGCAATCTTCGCAGGGTTTGCTTCAGAGGATCCCCTGACACTCACACAATTAGTAAGATCCTGCGAAGATACCGATCCATCACCGAGCTCGCGATTATAACCCACAAGAATCGCGGAAATTTCGACGCCCTGTGCGAAGCGGCTAACACTCTCATTTCCCAATTGACCATCCTGAACCCCTCCGACAGCGCGACAATCTCTCCACACTTATCTGCAATCGACTTTGGGTGTTCGGGTAAAACCTACTTTGACTACGCACTATTTCTGAAGATGCTGGAATCCCGATGGAGAACAGAGAATTGCGCACTAAAATCCGCTGCCTTGTTCACTGATGCAGGCTCGTGCCCGAATTCTTTAACGCTTGACGGACTCCATTCGCTTCGTGAAGACGGATTAGACCTCTCACTGCTGAATGGAAAGGAAGGGTTTGAGGCGATAAGCCGTTGGCTCTTTATCCCGTCGTGGAACTGAATTTTTAATCCCTTCATTCCCACTTTCCTGACTTTTCCTGATTTGGCTTCGTAAACCATCTTGCGGCTGTTGTTTTTGTTCAAATTGTACTCAAATTGTATACGCTGGGACGAAGTTGGCATAGTCACTCGTCAGGATACGGATTCGTGAGTGCGAGGGGGTATACGTGCACGGGCGGGTCTCACCACGCTACCTTCGAGCAGTTTGGGATGAGCTTCACGTCTTGTCAACCTTGTGGCTCGACTTTCCTGTATATCCACAAACTGAATTACATACCTGATCTCCGTCCACCATTTTACTGCCGTCATGACAATGAAAATCGATGACTCGCAAATACATCTCGACTCTCGAGCGCGAATCAAACTCACAAGGCGACATGTTCGGAGACACCCACATTCCATTAGCCATTAGTGATGCGAACACTTAGCAGAGTAATAATTAGCCAGCCCACTTTTGTCCTCGTCAGTCTTCGGAACTGAGACTCGAGAGGAAAATTTAAATGTGTCGGCCTCTAACGGTAGCCCACGCTGCCGTATAATGTGGCACTGTTTAATTGTTTCAAGCGCGGTCGGCGGTTCGACTCCGCTTCAGAACACTGCCTAATATCTTGATGACTTTTTTTTTTTTTTTTGACATCCTCGACAACTCTTAGCACCAGCCTCTAGCCTCCATCCCAGGTTCACTGTCGGAGCCTTGGTGCAACGGTAGCCCGCACTAATATGTAGGCAGGAAAAGTGGGAGTTTCAAGTGCGGTCGGTGGTTCGACTCCACCTTAGGGCATGCTCGGACACGCAACAGCAATTTATTTTATTTATTTCTGTGCTTCTTTTTGGCTTCAACTCTCTACAACGGAATCTCACCCTTACATGCCAAGTCATGTCCGACTTTGAGCAATTTATTATGCACAACAGGTTGAGACGGACCCATAAGGACCCATAGAACGAATACTTCAATTAAGCAGCAGTGTCCTGGTCTAAACGGTCGCCCGCGCTGATATGTAACTACATTCCGAAGTCTCAAGTGCGGTTGGGTTGGTGCATATTCTTGCCTGTGTTGACATTTTTAGCGCCCTACTTACATCGTAAGTACGATCTCACCATCTCTACACCGAGTTCAGCGGCCGGAGCCCTGGTCTAACGGTAGCCCGCACTAGCTCATCATCGAGTATCGTACAATGTCTCAAGTGCGGTCGGCGGTTCGACTCCGCCCTAGGGCATGCATGGTTTGAGGTCCATTTTTCTTTTTTGCTTCTGAGTAACTTGCTAGTAATATTTTCCCCCATCTGAAACGTTGTAAGCTGCAGGAGCCCTGATCTTAAGCACGGTCGGCGGTTCGACTCCGCCCTAGGGCATACATTCATCATCGTCCTCTTTTTGCGCCTTTTTATGCGTATCCCCCCATCCGTCTAATTCGTAAATACGACAGCACCGTCAACGCACAGCGCATCTAAACCTCCTACATAACTTATGAAAGGATTAAGCTAGCATATAAAAGCGTCCGGCCGCGCGTTCCGTGCGTCTGTCTACATGCATAAGTGAGATAAGTAAATCTGTAAATCTAAGCATTATTGATAGATAGCGCGCATGGATACGTATGCATGCGCGTCTACAGCGCTGGCCCCGGCGCGGCGCCGCCCGACGACCGCTGGGATGGGATGGGATGCGTCTGCATAACGCATCGCATCGCGTCGCAGCCGGGCGGGGACGCGCGCCTGAGTGGACCTCCATCTCCAGAGGTCGACTCGCGCGCAGGACGAGGACGCACCGCCCGCCTCGTCTATCTCGTCTTGCCCCACCCGCGGAGCTGGATCCAGCGCGGAGGCCCGTCTATACCCGCCCTATCGCCCCGCAGCCCCGCATAAATACGGCCCCCGCACACACGCACCCAATAGACAATAGATACCGCGCCCGCGTCTATAAACCGCCGCCTGAGCTCACACCCTCACGAGCCTCGAGCCCACACCCTACCTCACACCCGCACGAGCCGCGAGCTCGCGCGCGCCTGCACGGGCGAGAGGCGCCCCGCCGCGCTGGGGGACAGGGGGCGCAGCTCGGGCTTGCAGGGCGAGGCGGGGCGGGCCTGCACGGGGGAGAGGCGCCCCGCCGCCGCGGCCACCGCACTTGGGGACAAGGGGGAGGTGGAGAGCGGGGAGGTGGGCTGCTCGGGCTTGCGTATCGGAGACGGAAGGGAAGGTATGGAGAGCGGGGCGGTGAGAGGGGGGGAGGCGGGCGTGCGCGTGGGGGACGCCACGGCGGTCGGTGTAAACGGGGACATGGGGGACGAGACGGCCTTGTTGGCGATCGGCGAGGAGGGGAGGCCGATCTTGCGCAGAGTCGACGGGGATACGACGACGGAAGACGCCGGGGACGCTGCAGACGGAGGCGCCTTCGTCGCCAGCGCAAGCGGGCACAGCGGCACCTTGTCTTGCTCCTCCTCGTCGTCCGAAGCGTCCTCCTCGATCTCCACCTGCACATCGTTAATCAACATATAGCTCTTCCTCGTCTTCCTCCCCTTCTTCGCGCCCTCTTTGGCCTCGAGCTCCGCGGGGGCAGCTGGAGCGCGGGCATCGCCGTGCGCTCGAGCATGTCGTGCCGGTCGCGCGCATAGTCGTACGCGCTCGAGCCGAAGGGGGGCGAGTACGCCGCGGCCTCGGCGGCGCGGTACGCGTGGGCGTAACCAGCGCCGGCCTTCGCGCCGTGCGACCCGCCGATCGCAACGCCGGGGCGCTTGCGGGCGGCGCCGGGTGCAGGCGCGGGCAACACGCGGTCGGGCTCGCCGTCCGCCGCCGCGCGCGAGGGGAAGTACGCGTCGGCGCCCCCCGTCGGGCCCCTGGCGCCGGTGGGCGTGCCAGGGGGCGTGGAGTCCGCGGAGGAATCTTGGGGGGACGAGTTGGGCGAAGGCTCGGGCGGAGAGAGGAGGGGGAGGAAGGCGAAGGCGGGGCGTGGGCGGGGCGCGGGCGGCGGGAGGGGGCGGAGGTGCGTCAGCGCGGGGGATGCGAGGCGCGTCGCGGCGGCGGCCGGGCGGGCGCGGCCGGGGGGCATGACGAAGGGCGTCTGGTACGCCGCGGGCGCTGAGTCTGGCGGCGGCGATGTGGGGGGCGAGATGGGGGAGGTGGCGTCGGGCACGCCGAGCGGTAGGAGCGCGATGGGCACGGTGCTGAGGTACTGCTTCGCCGGGCGCCGCGTTAACGGGTCCCAGGGCTGCGTCGCGTGCGGGAGGGACTGCGTTATCTCCTTCAGCTCCAGGAGTTCCCTGCACATGCGCAAAAACAAAAGACGCAAGAAAAAAAGGGAGAGAAGAAAGCAGAAAATCGAGTCAGAAAAATCAGACAGGGGTAACGAGAAGAAAAAACGGACTGGTAGGATAGTTTTCGTGCGGGCTGGGTGGGGGTGCGGTCCCACTCGTCGGCCCAATGGACCTCCTCGCAGCCCTCGGGGCCAAATGCGACGCACTTGCGCGAGCTGGTTCCGATGTTGCCGGGGTCGGGCGATCCCGGGGCGGACGAGGCTTTCAGGCAGCTCTTCATGCTGGGGCAGGAGGGCGAGTAAAAGATCGCTTCAAGTTCGGGGGCTTGAAGCTGGTACTAGTAGGGTTGCTGGGGCAGTGAAACGCCAGCGAAAGTCCGGTACGACGCGGTGACGTCGAGGTCGGGGGGTCGTCTGGGCCGGTAGCGAGTACAGCAGTAGTCCGCTGAGTATTAAATCGAGAGCTCGACGCTGGGAGAGACGACGAGCAGACTAGCAGATGGATGGTGGCAAGAACCAAGAGGAGTTGGGGAGAGGTGTTTACTTGGGGGACTGTATGCATATTTGCATTTTTCGGGTGGCCAGTTGCGGGGCGATCGGGAATCTGATTGATCGACGCGGACACCCGACCTGATCCGCAGTCCCCCCGTGCCCGGAATCCCTCTTTCGCGATTGGTCGTGTGCGCCCCGCGCCGTCCGTTTTATCCTTCCGCAACACAGCGTTCATTTCGCTCGTGTTCATCTCGGCTCTCGTCCACACGTCCTTCTGACCGACGGCCTGCAGCAATTTTCCCTCCGCGGAGTCCCCACGGACGTCGGAGTCTGGACGCACACAGGCCCCGTGGTCATCGCGTATCCTCTCGACAGGTCCCACGTCGGCCGAACGCCCTCGGAGCGGTATATTTCCGCCCTGCCTCGGCCACTCGGACCCTAATCCCGCTCCTCGTGGTACTCCGTTTTCCAATTCGGGCCATTTTCTGGTCATTTTTCAGGAACCCGGTGTGTCGACAGCTTCCACAGGTCCCAAGTCGACAGCTTCCAAGTTGGAGTACAAGGGTAAAGCAGGTTACAGCACTTTGGTAAGTACTAGTCACTAGTACAGCGTTGGGACAGGGCCAACGCCTAGACCCTGGCCGGTGATACAAATCTGCGCGTGTTATACTAATAGCACCTAATAGCACCCAGGTCCCAACGTGGTCGCGTTGCGCCTAGCCGTCGCATACCACACGTCGATCATCTCAAGCGAACACTCCCCGCCGGGGAAAACATCCAACCTACCACGTCAACAACTACGTTATATGTGAAGTTCAAACCCAATTTCGCACAGGATCCCAGTGACGTCGTATTATTTATTCCCCCGTACTCCGTCCGCGGTCGAAGGAGAATAGACACAGGATAGGGATACCGTATGTATTACCCCAACAGGGGCTAGCGTTTTGCACGGCCGTATTTTATTCACGGTGGGTGCGGGGACTAGATGCTATATCCCACTACACGTACGACTACGCCCTGCAGTACCGCGACAAGCACGTACTTAATTCCGAGGCAGCTATGCTCCTTGGTGTATTAAATTTTCAGATACAGCAAGCGTAGTACTATCCCGTCTAACCGACGCCGAGTAAGTCCCCGTTCAACATCCCAAGGCGGACACCGGGGTCCGGTACCGTGACTGGTCGAAAATAGCGCAACGTTCCCCGAGCTAACTTGACACGCAAGGGAATTAGAAGAGTCTTCGGATTGCCGGCGGCACTTCAACCAATGGCTTAAAATGAGCGGGAGGCCTACCGCCGATCCGCGGCCTCAGAGGTATGTGACCGGGAAGAAACAAGCTATATTTATATTATGTACAGCCCCGGGCGCCATCGTCGATCCACAGCACACCATGAGCTAAGCATTCGCAGGGCTGCTAGCGCTACATATCATTATATACGGGGTGCAAGTGTGTTCGCGATCGCACACGGACAACATGCGTGCCTTTCCATCATAGCAGCTTCAATATCCGAGTTTACTTCCCAGCTGGTGTGGTCTTCCTTGCCTCTCTTTTTCTTTCTACTCACTCACGCACTCACTGGGGCACTCTGAACCTTGGGTAGTTTCGGTATACTACAGTAACGATGCAACCTGAGGGATGGGAGAGTACCGTAAATGAAAACGAAAAAAATGCTGTGGTTGAATTTTCGCAAGGCAGCAAATATATAATCGCGTACTTTGCTTGGATTACTGCAGTACATTCCGCATCCGCTTAGGGCCGAGCGAAGGTTGAAAGCTCGGGGGCAAGGGAATAAAGGCCTTGATACCTTTAATTGCTGTCGCATCCGCTTAAGCTTGTTTAAATTATCTTCGTTCGAACTTCCATTCGGAAACCCCTCCCCACTCCTGATATACAATGAACTATTCAAATCAACAGAGGGAGTGAGAAAGGAGAGAAACAATCGGAGGAGGGAAAAGCCGAGGGACCAAATAAAATATATACATATATATATATATAGAGAAAAGAAAGAATACCCACACGAGTATGCTCCAGGGCGGAGTCGAACCGCCGACCACACTTGAAGCTCACTGGATCCAATTGACTGAACAGCGTGAGTTACCGCTACACCAGGGCGTCGATACCTAGGGCTCTAGCATTAAGCATGAGTGGAGGCCCAGGGGCAGGTGGGAGTTGAAAGGAAAGAAAAACCATTACAAAAAAGGCTGAGCCTGTAGTGTCCTAGGGTGGAGTCGAACCACCGACCGCACTTGAAACTTTTCTGTCAACTCTTTACAATGCAGTGCGGCCTACCGTTAGACCAGGACAACCTTTCATTTAAGCAAGGAAAAGTGATAGAGATAGAGAGCGTGGTCTGAGAGCCTGAACGTTGGACTTTCAAGCCACCCCTGCTCTGATGGCTCGAACTAAGCAAGTTACAAGTAGAGTCGTATCGGGTGCCAACGAAAAGAATAACAACGAAGTGGAGAAGGAACTAAAAAAGGGACAAAAGAGCAAAGATAGTGTCCTAGGGTGGTGTCGAACCACCGACCACACCTGAAACTTCTCCCTATGCCTTCATAGAACAGTGTGGGTTACCGTTAAGCCAGGACGACGGTTTATCAAATCAGAATCTGCGATCTAGTCTGGTGGAGATGAGTGGATGCCTTTCCGATTTGACGGTGGATTCTGAATGTTGAAATACCTCCGCCATTCAACTTTCAGGCTAACACTAGACCTACGATCTGATGGCTCAAACCTGAGGCTTTCAACCTTATACATTAGCTGCGGCAGGGCTGTATCGAACGCACAAGAAACCGACAAACAGAAGAAAAAAGGAGGAAAACAAAAAGAAAATGGGAGAGAGATAATGTCCTGGGGTGGAGTCGAACCACCGACCGCACCTGAAAGTCATAGTTACAGTGTATACAGCAGTGCGGGTTACCGTTACACCAGGACGACATTCTGCTAAGTCTGAATTTGCGGTTGAAGGATGGATGCCTTCTGGTTTGAGAGGCCATCGATTCTGAATGTTGAAACTTCAACTATGAATGTTGCGGCTGAGCTGTCAGCGCCAGCCGTTGAACCAATTAAGTTACAACCAGTTTGAGCGTAAGTGGAATATCAGAGGACAACGCGGGGAAGGATGAATGTGGTACGTATGGTAAATGTGGACTCGAGGTCAGAGGCAAGTCAAAAGAAGCCGTCGAGAAGCTTGCACCGCAAGTTTCAACCAGAACATTCAAAGGCCGTCCTTCATGATACGATCCCTTCGAGGGCCGGCGTCCATCCAGTTCTCGGTAACAAAGGAGCGAGTGAAAGTTGAACAACACTGTTCGGATCAAATCGGAATCTTCCTCCCGGTTATGCCTTGCAGTGTGGTTTGTCGATCACCTTCAAGACTAGGGAGCGCCGACTCCGTCGGCAAACACCTTGCTTGCGACGGTTCAGGACCTGCTTTCTTAATATTTCGGGTGGGCTTGTGGGTGGGCTTGTGGCTTAGCTCGCTGTGGTTGGGCACCGTCTGAGGGAATACAAGAATAGGACGTAAATATGATTCAGAGTCAAAGACGAGTCCGAACTTTATTTGGAGTCTGGCAAGGGGGTGCGGGCCGGTCGAGCCAGGACCTATTATCAGAGACTGGCTATCCGGCCACCTTAGCATTTTTGGCCCCGGGCCAAGGGAGATACTCAAGTAGATATGAACATTTGGACCCTGAGATGAAGGTATACATCCTAGGGATGAGTTGACATATTCTATCTGAATTTGCATGGCGATTTCATCGCTCGGTGAATTTATCTCCGGGGGTACCCCCAAAATGGCAATAAACGGCCTAGTCGGCCACCTGGCTAAATTGTAAGTTCTCGCTCGTCCTGTTCACCCTAGTGTATCCATAACTGTTTAAGGGATGCAAATAGATGGTTCCATACACTCAGACAGCACATCTGAGACATATGGCGACCAATACTAGGTTCATTCTAACCCGGATAAGGTGGCCGAATGTGCTTTGCGAACCAAATGGCGGCCCCTGCAGCGTACAGAGCTCATTTTCGCCTCGAATTAAAGTCCACATGACTATATAAGAAGTATTTGAACATACAGAATTACATGCAATGCCCCCCACATAACCGTAATCCCTCCCAAAAAGTCCATCTTGATACGCAGCTGAAATCTGATGATTTTGGGTGGTGATCCACCACCACTGGGAACACGCACAGTGAAGGTTCCATAAACCTGGGACAACATAAAGAGAGGTGTCTCAAATCTATCAACCAAAATCCAGGTCCGTAGCAAACATGACGGCTTCGCTATAGAGGTGGCCCGATTGTGACGCTCAGAATCAACTAGAGGTCTTCATGAGGGGTCGTGGAGGCAAGAGAGAGCCCATTTTGCAAATTGGAAATTATAGTGTTATTCTCTCGACTCGAGGCATTAGAACCAGGCCGGAACCTTGAAAATTGGCGAGGAATTGGTGGAGAAACAAGGAAGAAACGAGCGCGGAGGCCGTTCGGAGATAAGAAATGACGTTCACACGCCGGCATCTTGATCGAAAACCTTCCGCAACTCTTGATTGCCGGGTCAATTTGGGTCGAAATTTGACATGCAACATCCTCTCAAGTAGTATTTCACCATACAAGTGGCCGGACACCGGAATTATTATCGGAACCTCTTATATTTGGCAAGTGGCCGACTAGCTAGTCTGGCCGGATAGGCAGTCACAGATAATAAGGCTAGTAGGTAGGTCCGGCTGCCAGGCCGGGAAAAAAAATAATGACCTCGAAGAAATGGCCCAACCACTGCTTCGGGCGTCATCTGGGACACACTAAATGGTCCAGTACCTCTAGTTAGGCCCAATAATGTGTTTTATATCGGCCCTGGCTGTTACGGGGACTTCGGGCAGCATAATTGGACCAGTCCGACTAGGTTTCATCCGACTTGGCCTTAAACTTGGGTCCTTCGATTTTTAAACCGGTGCTAAAATATTCAGAATCTGTCTTGAACATTCATTTGTCGACAAGTCATAGTCACCTCAAGAATCACCTCAAGTTCAAAGAGCGGGCCAGGTTCAACTTGAAATTACCCAGTCGGAGGGCATAAACTCATTTTGGGAGTCAAAATCCTAACGAGAGTCTATCACACCGGGATTACAGGAATTTCGGGGCACCCGATGTTAGTTTCGATACGGCACGTGTTCGTTCCGGGTGCGCCGAAATGCTTCGGGCTTGCTATATATGGGAAGGCCGATGCATTTCGGCGCGCCCGAAATGGTCACGTGCTGTATCGAAACTAACATCGGGGGCCCCGAAATTTCCGTAATCCCGGTGTGTATGGGGGTGAATTCGATGCTGTACAGGAATCAATAGCCGCAATTTGATGGCGCCTCTGGACCGGCCGACGTGGGAAGATTACCCGATATGGGCATCACGTAGTAGGTAGGTCCGCCGAAGAGGTCTTGAAAAAAAACGGCGTAAGGTATTTTTCTTTCGAATCAGAAACCCCTTGGAGTCTGGACTGACTCTAAGCTCCGCCGGGTGATTTAGGATCACCGGGTGCGACGAAAAGTGTGCCAATTATGAGGGTGGAGAGACCTTGACAAGCAAGGTAACTTCCAGACTTCAAGCTCCCAGGACTCTGTTTCCTTCGCGTCGTTAGCTGGTTCCTATGTTGTCACTTTGTGGAATCATATCTTTGGACCACAGATTGGCGGCTGACTCACAACCTGGATGGACGAAGCACTGGAGCGGGGTATTACCCAGTTCTTCGAACGGAATCCTCCCCGACTCACTCCTCGTCCCGATGCCAAATTCTGTCCTCCCTTGACGATATTCGACGAGCATTCTATGATCGTCATATCGACCAGAATTTTACTCTCAAAGTTAGAACAATGCCCTCCCTGTTTAACAATCTCTCGGAACAGGCCTCCAAAGAGCTCTCAGCCTTCACGTCTCGTGGCGGCTCATTGCCTCCCTCGAATCCTGGTTTCCCTCATAAAGCCTGGCCAATCCGGCCGAGAAACACGGAAATGGACGATGTGTCGGCGGTGACGGATTTCTATCGAATGACAACAGAAAGAAACACAGGAAGAAACAGCGTCCTTTCCATCCTCATCATCACGGATCCCAGTGGGGGCAAGTCCTCTGGTGGCGCGAACATGGAGGCCCGAGAATACCAGCGGCCAAATACATTGCCCTCGAGGACAGCTGTGGACCCGTGGTCGCAGATGGACCAAAGGAACTCTCAGCGGTATGGTTCCCTTCGTCCAACGCTCAAATCGAGCTGAGCTTTCATGTCACAGCTCTCAATTTATCTCTATGCTGGACGGAATACACCGCGTCGGTGTCCGTCATCACGATATTCGGCCGGCAAAGTTGATGCTAACAGACGCGGGAGATCCCTTCATCGTTGACTTCGACATTGATCTGAAGGGAGGAGCGAAAAGAATGGAAATGGAAATGGAGCATGTTCAACGACGCATATCCGGAGCGCGACGAAAGTGGGACAACAGTCAGTCGCCATCCCTCACGGAATGAATCAGAAGATGAGGCGGAAGATGACTCGGGCTTGGAGGCAGTAAAATTGCTCCCATGACATATGCTGCCTTGCTGCTATTCGAGTGTTTTCGATATTTGTTAGTTTAGTGTGAGCGCAAGTTGAACAAAAAAGGCGGCCAGGTGAGGGGAAATAAATGTGAAGACGGCCTTCAAGTCTTCGGGACGGCTTGACGAAGCAGCTTTGCACCAATGACTGCGAGGTTGTGTAATGGAAGATCAGAGAGACATTATGTCCGGACGAATATACTCCCATCAGGAACGATGGGCAAATTCAAGCCCAACCTGGAATATAGATCCAATGCCCCATGACATCCGCCGCTTCTCGTCCCTGCTGCAATGAGAGGTCCAACCCTTCATTGCGAAGCGAATGGAGTCCATCAAGTGTCGTAGGATTCGGGCCCGGGCCTGAATCCATGAACAGTGAGGCGGATTTGAGTGCACAGCTCTGTGCTCTCCACCGAGATTCCAGCATCTTCAGATAAAGGGCATGATCAATGTAGGTTTCCTCCTCACATCCAAACTCGATTGTCGTTAATTGCGGCGACACCGCCGCGCTCCCGGGGGGGTTGGAGACGGTCAAGGAAGAAATGAGAGCATTGGCCGCTGTGCAGTGGTTGTCTAAATCTCCATCACGGTTCCAGGTCAAAATCGCTAGTTGGGTAATGGCTGGGAATTGTTTCAGGATGTCGATGACGGTGCGAGCATCAGGGTATCCTCTGAAGCAAACCCGTCGGAGAGCGCAGGCAGAGCGTATGAGGAATGAGTCGAGAGTTGGAAGAAGAAGATCTTGATCAGCTTCTCGAGTGCGAAAAGCTATTTCCTGCAATGCAGGCGTTCTGAGGTAATCCAGGATGCTTCCATGCGATACATAGAGACGACGGAGACGTGGTAATTCAATGATGTCACCGTCTTCTGGCCAGGGTTCATCGCCGAAGATAGCGAGACGCGCCTCAACAAGATTTTGGGCCAGCTTCAAAATGCCTGCGTGTATCGTCCATGTGGCGTTAAGCTGGTACCAGGTGAGCTGGTGCACGGGAAAGGGAGCTGTTGCAAGGTGATATCCATTATGAAATCCTGCCTCGAGCAGAGAAGGAGCGGTATGGAAGGCATCGCTCAAATCTACCGCTGTCAGGTTTTCCGAATCGTTCCACGAAATCCACAACCTGCGCAGCAATGGGAGGCGATTTCGAAGCGTGGCAATGATGGGGACCATATCCGAAATTAAACCAACGCTGAGCTCTTCCCACAAGGATGAGCGCTCTGCGAGAGATTGGAACATGGCGACTTGAGACAGAGAGTCAGCGTCTTTGCACCCGTAGATGGTAACTTTCAAGTTCCGTGCGCGCGCGATTTGGGTCTCGAGCATGGGGAGAGGACACCAGATGGAAGCGGAATAATCAATGGCG